ACCTAACAAGATCCCTGTACTCCTCCTGACTTGCCCACCCCCTCTTCCAAAGGCGGTAGACTCTCCCTTTTTCCCCTGAGTCCCCGCAAAAGCTCCCTATTCAGCCAGGCCGGTCGTTTTCCCCGCCGGTTGGTCTTACGGCACATGGGGACAGCCCGCTCCTGCGCCCTTAAGACTTCCTTCTTGAAGAAGGCCCAGCCTTCCTGGACCCCTTTGACTTTCAGGACTGCCTCCCAAGGGACTTTCCCAACCAGCGTCCTGAAGAGGCCAAAGCCTGCCCTCTGGAAGTCCATCGTAACAGTTTTGCTGCCCCTCCGCTTGGCATCGCCCAGAATCGAGAACTCTATCAAGACGACCTCCGACCACAACATCTCCCACAAGCCCTTCTCTGTCAGTAAACAGCACGTCCCCTGGTAGGCTCGCTTACCAGCTGCGTCACAGAGTTATCCTCCACACACTCTAGGAACTTTTGAGACTGCTGCCTCTCTGCTGCGTTGTATTTCCAGCAGATATCCAGCAAGTTAAAGTCGCCCACAAGAACAAGGGCTAGTGATTGCGAGACTTCTGCCAGCCACTTGCAGAACGCTTCATCTATCTCTACATCCTGGTTGGATGGTCTATAGCAGACTCCCAACAGGACATGATTACAGATGAGCTTGTTACGTTGCTCATATGTGTAGTTACGGGTAGTTCTGTTGTTTCACAGGGTATAGGCCCTGTTAAAAATACTGTAAGCATTCAACACATGATCCACATTATTTGTGTACCAGTCGCTGTCTTACAGCGTGGGAGTCAACCACTTATACAATCAGATTGAGTAATTCATTTCTGCCTATACCTTAAAAAGGGTTCCTGATATCATTGTAGGAGAAATCTGTCCTTTTACCTTATAAAGGTAGAACACAATTTAAAAGTGAACTATTATTTTAAACTGTAAAACATCTCACTTTCCCTTATCCCTAATTAAATCAATGGAAGTTTTGTCAAGCTTTTTATGGAGTCAATATAATCAAATTTCCTCTTAGGACTTCTCATTCCTATCCAACTAGTGATTTCCTCCAAAACAGCATTTATAACTCCTGATTTATATGACAAAATCATGTATCTCCCAACTCCAAATTCCGCCCCTGTTCACCTCCTCCATGGTCATCTTTATCAGCAAATTATACTGTATCTTATGGTTATTCATACCTAGCATGACATAATTTTACTGTGATATCAAAGTGCAAATACAGCTGCAGAAAACTAATGTTGCAGCACTTAATCAATTGGGCTATATCTTGCCCAAGTAAGGTTATCAAAGTTTTCCATACTATGAAATACAATCCAGAAGATCTTTTATTTCAATTGCACAAAGTATGTTCATAAAAAAATATGAATTCAGGGATTTATATATTCAACTTCAGAAAACAGAAAAAATGCAGAAATTAATTTCTGTGTTAAAATATTATAAAGGACTTAATATTACAAAACACAAGCATGACAGTGTGAGCATATTTTAAGTGTTTCTTCAGGTTCTAGAAATATTTGGAATCAAATGGTACTCTCCTCAAAATAAGTTCTGGTGAAATTGGTGATAATTAAAACAATACAAAGAATTTTAAGTACAGAGAGACTAGACAAACCAAACTGATATAAACATGGTAAAAAATACTTTGTTTATTTTAGTATTTCAGTATGATTTTTGTTTCATGCACTACAGTGGATGTACCACAAGTTCTTTTCAATCAACTAGGCAAAATAACAACATGCAATTTCTATTACTGCTTATCATATTACAATGTATCCATTTACAGGTAATAAGATTAGATTCATTGCTATTCTCATTTTGTAGGCCATTTTTCATTTAATCTTCTTATGTTAAAAAAATGGGGAATTTCACCTTCATACATAATAAAAACTAAACAATGTTATCTTATCAGAAGCAACACATCCAAGCATGTTATATCCTATTTAGTTAACGTGACCAGAGAATAAAAAATGAGCATCTTACCTCAGACCAAAGGTATGTGATTGTTCATAACTGAATAAGGAATGAATTTTAGCCTCTGAATTCAAAATTATAAGCCTGTCAATGATATCCTGCCAAAGGAAGACAAATGTAAAAAACTCATGTATGATTTTATATTTTATGCACACAGTAGTTTCATAGGGATGTTTACTGTAAAATGAAACTTATTATTAAAATGCACATTGAAATTATTTCTGTAAGAAGAGGTGCTTTCCACCATAAAAGTCAATGGCAAAAAGAAACCATACAGAAAGGAGGGGGGGCGGGGGTGGTTGGTGGTGTGGAAATCTCAGTTAAAAAAAAAAAAAAATCACTAAACATATAAAAAGATTGTACCATATCAAGTACCCTAGTTCTTATTTAGTACTAAATCACAACAAAAATGTTAAACTGTTTTTTATATGTTTGAAATGTGTATACATCTATTTTAATGAAAAGAACAGCAAATCCTTTAGTGTAATACTCTTTCTAACACTGGTTAGTACAACATGCTTCAAAACATGGCCATTTATTCTCAGTGTAGCAAGGCTTGGCTTGCACGCTGAGGCTTACATGTTTCATCCTACAGCATCTCATATAATAGACAACGACCTGTGGCTGCTTCCCACTTCTTCCACAAATCCAACCTCATTATCGTCCCTTCTGGTTCACTGCATATCCAAACTGCTTCTGAAGAAATAACTTCATTAAAAGACTAAGAAATGCATAAAAACATTCACTGAAGTTATCGTCTCAGAGACAGATTGCTGTGCTATGGTCAGAAGAAACAAACTGCGAAGTTCTTACAGGCTTTCTTTAATCTGGATTAAATCCAAACTTTCATTTTCTCCACATTTAAGAAGTATAGTCTCAGAGACAGCAGAGTGAATTATTATTCAACTGGTTAGATCATTGAGTCATTTCAATATGATAGGAGAGAAAAGTTAGAATCCATACTTTCACAAAATCAACCAAAGCTCTGGTTTTCAACAGTGACAAAAGTAAACACCACAAGTAAAACTCCCAGTAGTAGAAAAAAAATCTAGAACTTGCCAAAGTAAACTGTCTTCATAATATGCATTCTTATTTAAAATACAGTTAAACCATATTTTCCCTATTAGATTTTTTTGGGCAGTAGGGGAAAGGGCTGTGAAGAATGCACTTTTTCCACACAGTATATCCACAATAAAATTCACAATAAAACAATTCAACTCAGACCTCAAGGCTGTTCATAAAATCGGTAATGCAAGCAATTGATTTGTTTGGGTTTTAAGGCATTTTAGACATTTGTACATGTAAAGAGTTAAATGCCATGGGATATTTCTCTGGCAACAGCCTCCTCTCATCTATACATCAAAGCTTGGAGCCTGCAAATGGGTAGAAAAAGCAGGCACAGAGAGAGGACTACTGAGAAAGCAGACCAAGTTCTGATTTGGGATATTGCGAAGGAAGATAATGAACGAGGTCCAACACAAGGTCCGATCAGAAAAATGTGCAGATAGATTTGCACTGCTTAAACACAGAGCATAGCTTAAATATTACAGGTAGAATGTCATCTGCTTTGAATACCTAAGATACACCACCTAAATATAAGATTGTCCATAATCACTGCAAAAAAGAACAAACAAACAAAAAAATCACCCGCTTTAACATGTCTTTCAAAGCTACAGATCTGGAGGGTATCTTCCAAGCTAGATTCCCTTGCATATATGTACTGTAGAACCTTTCAAAGAAAGAGTAGAGGCAGACAGAAGGACCTTGATTCATCTGTCCATTTTCTAAAATATTTTTATATGGCAAACAGAGTAAAAAAAAAATCTGGCGTGTATTAAGAAAAATTTTCCTATGGGTACAAAATAAAAACCTGATTAGTCAACAGTTACAAGCAGTAAAAGCCCAACTGATAACCTGTTCAGTCCAATGATGCAACTAGCTAGCCAAAAATACAAAGGAGGAAAAAATGTTTAAATCCTGTGTATTTAAGAAATAAAGGACATACAAAGATGATTAAGTTCTGTGCATTATCAAATATAGTTCAGCATAAATATTACAAGTTAGATTCTGTAGCAATGTGACACGATTCAGAAATATAGAAAAACGAAGCACACAAAGCAATTAGGTCTTCAGATCTTCTAGTGGCACCAAAATTGCTTTTACTTTGCTTTCTAACCACAGTTACATATCATCAGATCTTTTTATCTTCAGCTTTCTGCAATCACTACCCAAAAACATGGTTATAACAAATCTGTATGTCTGCTTAACCCCAGAAGTTTTCTGAGTACTTAGACTTAGCCATTATATGTTAAATTAACGTTAGATGAACTGACTATTTCCCTTCTTTTAACTACGTAATCTTGGATGTCTAGTTTAGGCTTACAAAACCCACTGTTGCACAGTAGTTAAGCAAGACAAATCCCATCCAAAACATCTGTAACTGTGCAGGGAACTTTCAACAATTGTATCAGTATTGCTATTTCTGGAAACCTAGAGAATTCCATGAAAATGCTGAAGTGCCTCAAATGCCAAGACAACATAGGCTTTCAAAAGTCACAAAAATCATTACTTAAGATTCACCCAATCTGAAAGTTCTCAAGTATGTATCACCTTCAACACACATCTATCTCCTCTGCTCCCAGTGCCTCAGAAAACTTGATGACTGAACAGAACTATCCATCGGTGGACATACCAACATCGAGTAGATTGGAAAAATGAAATTTATCATCCTATTTCCTTCTGAAATCATCACAACAGTATTACAAAAAAGAACTACAAAAAACCCTTCCAAACATAACACACACTATTATGATATACTCTGTCTAAACAACTTAAACTACCACCAATCCAGAGCATGTGCTAAACAAACACTTTAACAGAACAGCAATTCAAAGTGCTAGCTCATTAGAAAAAAAAAAAATAAAATCAGACTTTAACTGCCACTCAAGGTCACATTAAATTTGCCTGTGCTTTGTAGATGATAAAAAAAACCCTAATGTATTGCAGTTGGATGAACCAATACAAAATAACACTAAATACAGAAATGGTAATACTATTTTTCTTAGGACTGAAATATGCCTTAATCAGTAACTTTCCAATTAGTGATTTTTTCTGTGTGTGAATCATCTGTGCTATTAAGAAAGTCTGGGGGGTTTTGTTTGATTTGTTTTCTTTTTTTTTATTTTTGTTTAAATCCACAGATAGTGTGACAAAGCAGTATTATATAAAATACAAGTATAGATATTTTCCAGCATTTTGCAGCATGTAACTGCATGCACATACAGAGATGTTTATGTAAGCCACTTTGTTTTCATGGAAAAACACAATTCTAACACAAGCCAGGAAAGATGATCTTTAAATTAGGCATCAAATTTTATATTATCTTTAGGATTTCAAAATGAAAATTTAGGTTAACATGAAGTGATATGTGCATATACTGCCCTCATGCTGCATATAATACAAAATGCAGAAAATTTCAAAGTCTTTCAGTACGAAGAAAAAACTTATTCTGTTATTACAGTAACATTTTCTCTGGGAAAATGTCTTCACAGAAGTATTTATTTTCCTTTCAAAATAAAAGCTATACTTACAATAATATCTGTAGGTACTTCGCGGAGTGAATACATTGGTTTATTTGGTATATCTTGTTTACTCAGGAGCTCAAAAACTGCAGGGTAAGTGAGCAAGTTTATCAGAGACAGAAAACACTAGAGAAAGAAAAAAAGGGGGGACAAGAGGGAATGTTAATCAGTTAACTATAACCAAGTCAATGTTAACAATTACTTGCCATTTACTTCAAGTTTGTTCTTATCCTTCTTTGTAGGCTGAACTTGACATAGAGCTGCTCAAAATAAGACTGCAAACCCTGGCAGGTGCCTATATAATCTAAAAGTGCAGGAGTGTCTGTGAAATGTGTATTATCTATCGAATTGTACAAGCAATTTTGAAAAATATAATATTTTCATTATCACATAATTCTAAAATCTAGAGACACAGCATACTCTAAAACACGTCACTCTCCCTGATCTTACTACAGTAATCAGAGACGTGAACTGATAGCCAGGATTTTAAGACTTTCACTTTTGTCATGATTGTTATTTATTATTTTATATTGCCTTTAATGGATCTTTGGCATTGTGACCTGCCATGCAACACAGGAATCCTTTCAATCAGTCATCATTTGACTAGTATATTATACTAATTTTGCCCCACATGCCAAGAAGCAGGTATAGTCACAATAAAAATTTACAGAAAGTTATGTATCATCCTATCTGAAATACAGCACTGTTTTTTTCCATGGCAATACAGAATATTAAGTAATTTCTCACCTTCTGACAGCTTTGGTCAATAGGGTCAACTGGAGTAGATTTGGGTTGGGTTATTCTCAAATCATCTTTTCCACACTCCAAAAGAGCCCATAATTCAGTTACAAGTGCCTTTATAAAGCCTAAAACAAATTTTTGTTCTAATCATGAGAATAGCAAGAATACCAAACAATTTTCGTATTAAAAGCCATTTTATACCACATTTCTAACTCAGATTCTCAAAATTCTCTACATTGTGGACTAAAATTTCACAAGACAGACTGCCTGAGGGTTACTCTCCCTGCTATTCTCAATCCTTTAGTCATAGAATAGAATCATAAAATCGTTTAGGTTGGAAAAGACCTTTAAGATCATCCAGTTCAACCATTAGCCTAACACTACCAAGTCCACCACTAAACCAATTAAGGGTAGAGTAGCAGTTTCATGTTTCCTGGCTTGGTGGCTATATTATTTTTTAATGAAAGTAAAAACTAGGAATCATTCAAGTTGGAAAGGATCTCTAAGATCATCAGTCCAACCATCAACCCAACACCACCATGCCCACTAAACCATGTCCCAAAGTGCCACATCTACCCATTTTTTGAACACTTCCAGGGATGGGGACTCCACCACCTCTCTGGGCAGCCTGTTCCAATGCTTGACTACCCCTTCCGTGAAGAAATTTTTCCTAATATCCAACCTAAACCTCCCCTGGCACAGCTTGAGCCCATTTCCTCTCGTCCTATCACTTGTTACTTGGGAAAAGAGACCAACACCCACCTCACTACAACCTCCTTTCACGTAGTTGTAGAGAGCGATAAGGTCTCCCCTCAGCCTCCTCTTCTCCAGGCTAAACAACCCCAGTTCCCTCAGCCGCTCCTCATAAGGCCTGTGCTCCAGACCCTTCACCAGCCTTGTTGCCCTTCTCTGAACACGCTCCAGCACCTCAATGTCTTTCTTGTATTGAGGAGCCCAAAACTGGACACAGTATTCCAGGTGCGGCCTCACCAGCGCCGAGTACAGGGGAACAATCACCACCTCCCTGCTCCTGCTGGCCACATTATTCCTGATACAAGCCAGGATGCTGTTGGCCTTCTTGGCCACCTGGGCACACTGCTGACAAACTACCTTTCTAGAGTGGTCTGCTTATATTCAATCTAAAATCTACAGCAACAGTTTGCAAACACTGTTATAGTAGAGTAGGATGATATTTATCTATCTTCCATGTAAATGAGTTGCTGACCTTTTTTAACAAGTTATCTGCTACAGATCAAGGCTTAGCTGGTATTGGCTTTACGGTTTTAAAAACACAGATTTACTATAACTCATTAATAAATGAAAACATACCACAATGAAAAGTTAAGGACTGAAAAAAGCTTTTTAAGAGAAGCACTACTAGCTGACTTTAAAATGTTAAATATTTAAAATAGAAGAGGAAAGATAGCCATCTAACTCTGAAATCTCCAAATGTAAGTTACAGGCTTAATATAAACTTCACACACATTACACAACCTCCTCTCAGGGTTGAAAAATCACTGCTGATTATTTTTGGTCTAATGTTTGTCTTTGATGCCAAGGGCCATAAGAAACAACTTGGCTGAAAACCTTAAACAGGACAGATGGGTTACTCCTCAGGTAGATCTGCTCCCTGATTTCTGAAAGATCCCAGAGGCGTAAATAATAAGCAACTAACAATCAGTTTCCTTGACTGGCAGAATTTGCCTGCCTTTCTGACAGTCTTCCAGTCAAGTCATTTTTATTACACACCAGACTCTTTGAGATACTCAGAGAGAATATTTGTAACTTTTGTACCTCATGGACTTCCTTAGCAACTTAAGACGGTAGCTTTATTTTATTGATAAAATGCTAGTTTTAACATAATGACTACCTAGACCGCTGGGTAGTATGGCAACAGTTGAGTTATCTGAAAATGAATCTGAAGGGACTTTGTGGTATGGGTTGACATATGAGAAGAATCGTCAATTCAGACAATTTCAATTCCATCTCACTATTGTATAAGAGTGCCAATGACATTCACACCTTTACAGTTTCTCAACCTTTGAGCAGTCAGTAACCATGAAAAAGTACATACAAATTACAGAAATCAACAGTTATTAATTCTGATCTGTAGATCTATAAGAAGCACCTGCAAATTGATAGCAACTTATTTTTTAACAGATATAAAAATCTTCATGCACATACAGGAAATTCTGGAAACCCAAACCAATGAAGTAAAGATTTTGCATAATGTAAGGAAAAAAAACCTCAACCCTGCATCAAGATAAGGGAATGACTTAAAAGTTGGAAAGAATAAATTTCCATCAAGAAGAAATCAATAGACATTTAAGCAGTCTTTGCTAATACTGTGTAATTATTCTACTCAGATCATCTTTTTTAATATCTTTCTTAGGGTCTTTTTCTAATATGCAAGACTATAGCACATAACTATTTATAACAATACTATTCTTCAGTTTACCTGAACTCTGTAGAGCTACTGCACCTGTTGGTGTTGTTGCCATTTGTGTAACAATCACTCTATTACCAAACTCTTCATACTCGTTTGTCTGTTAGTAACAAATATAAAAGCACTGTGTTAGTTATTCAGAGGGCATGAAACTCTCAAATGATCTCTTAAATATTGATCTTTCCTACACTTGTTCACAGAATTTAATCCACCGCATGGTTAGACTTGAACAGTTCATAGATATTATCCTCTACAGACTTACTGGGGTCAGATTCCAAACCAACCATCTTTATCAAGTATCTTATCAAAATTTAAATGCAAAATACTATGGTTGAGACATGTAACATCAGCAAAAAATAAAAACATTAGAATGATAATGTTTTTTGCACAGATTCATTAGGATGTCTGTAACATTATGGTTTTTCTCTTAAAATGTGTATTATCCAATTTTTGGTTACATTTCAAGTATTGTCTAGCATATATCTAGGTTTCAACACCACCTACCAACTTGGTCTGGAAAAATTTGCACTTAGAAGAAAAAAAGAAAAATATTTTGCTTAGCATTTCAAACTTTACAGCAAAAAGTCAGAAAAACTAAATATATGCCTGACATTCTGAAGATGAGTAACATCCAACAAACTTAAATCAGGTGTGGCACCAATATCAAAGATGATATTTTAAATTCATTTTTGCAAAAATTAAGTGACAAAATGGTTTCTGGATTTATTTTCTTATTACTTTCTTTCTTCTTTATTTTATTATAACCATTAAAAGAAAGAAAAACTGTACAGACTCTGTAATGCTTACCTGGAGTTTTTTTGATAAACTGCTGAACATAAAGTTCACACAGTCATTCATGGCACCTGAACTATGAAGCAGAAATAGTCCTTTGGGTGTGGCAGAAAAATTTAGCAAGGCATCTAACAAAGTCTCTTCCCATAACAAACTGCAAGAGTAACAAAATAATAATTAAAAAATATATGTAAAAAGCACAGGAAAAAAGAAAAACTACAATTTCTAACTTTGAAAAACAACACCACTTCATTCACTGGACTATGTTTACTCTATATGTTTACTCTATGTTAGTTTAAAAAAAAGCATTTGAGAAAGTTATAATATGTATTAGACTGTATTTTGTACAAACATTCAATCTCATCCTGGCAAAACTGAGGTTAGGTAGGAACACAGAAGAGAAAGACAAAATAATGGGGAACCCAAAAGACCCATGCCATCCTTAAACGTACTTACAACTTACTATCTGACTCTAGACAAGTCTTTTAAGGTATTAATGTGGCAGTTACAAATTGGCAAAGCAGGCACAGAATTTCTCACCAATGTAAAAACACTATGAAGAACTAATAAAATCTGACGTTTGAGGAGATAAAGGCTCCTGCTAGAAATTAGTATAGAATTATGAAAATAAGGTGCTATATATACACAATTTCACATCGTAACAGCAGAAATGGAAAATATGTTCTACAGACATGGCAGGAAGAACAGCCATTGCAAGAATAAAGTATGATGATACCCTCTGCCCTACAAAATATTCTATGACCTAAAAAGAACAGTGAAGCAATTACAGCACCTTTCACTAGGTACCATCCTTGCAGGTATCAGTAGACTCTTGTGATTCTGCTTCTCTAAAAGCATTTGCTTCCTGGATTGTCATCTGTAGTTCTCCTTTCCCATTTTTGACTCCTATCACCAGCAAGCAGCATGTAGCTTTCCTCATAGCAGTCAACCATTACCCCAACCTTTAATCATTTCTCCTGCAGAATCCCTGCAATGTCACGTTTGGAAGCAAAAATTTCACCCAGAAATGTATCAGCATGTCTTTTTCCATAGTTAAATGGAAAATCTAGATGCTAGGAGGAAATTGGAGCTTGTGTCAATGGTAGTGATTAGTGACAACCTCCTCAGTCGGAGCTCTGCATCCCTAGATTTCTTTTTACCACTAGATTTGAATTGCTACAACCAGTTCACGTGCCATCACTACAGACTAGAGTAACAACTGTTGAGGTATCTTTGCAAATTATACATGAAATCTATGGTATAGTATAAACAAGGATCTACTTAATTAACTAGGTTCTGCACTAACACTAACATCACCCTGAATTTTCAGGCTCCCAACTATTTGTGTATTTCTCACCTTGATGCATACAAACATCTATAAAGGGACATTAAATTTTAGCATAAAAGGAAGGATGCCTTTCACTTAATATGTACCAGGTTTTCAGCCAGAATGCTGCCAATCTTGCTACATAGTATTTTGAAGGTGTAGATACCATTCAGCAGAACAGCATTTTAAATTAACACCACGTCAAAGCCATAAGATAAACTCTGACAGCAATTTTGGTTTATGCTTTCTAATTCACATTTTCCTCAAACCAATTTCTGTAGTCAGAAAGAATAAACTATAAGTCAATTTCACATAGAATACACACAAGTCTGTAAGCCAAGAAAGTCCTGAAAGGTCAAGAACAATTTTGTAACTCTACTGAGAGCTATGCTAGGATAACTTCACTCCCTCTATCTACCCCTATATTTTTGGCAAAAAAAATACAGGGTTATAAGGTGCCTCAATTGTGGATAAAGCAGCAGTGTGTGTTCATACTTGTGCATGTGCAAAAATTAAGCATCAACTTACATGTTTTTTGACTCTAGACTTATTGATGAAGTTGAGTCTGCGCCAGTTACAGGAGTGGGTATTCTTTCTGAAAGCAAACTCGTCTGTGAAATAAAAAAAAAACAAAACACCAAAACTCATTACTGTTTATTTACACCATTTTTGAAATCCAGATCTTGCTCATTCTCTTGTTATAGATCAAAAAAATAATGGTGATCAGGTTGTAGTCCAGCCTTTAGCACAGAATACACTATTCCATTACATTTTTTTCTTCCAGGAAAGCTTATTTTTTATTTTTACCTTGGGTACAAACCATTTTAAAGGTAGTACATTTTAAAAATTTTTATTACAATTCTTAAAATAAAAAACTCTTTCTTTATACTTTTTAACTGGAGACTCCCAAAGCAAAAAATTGGCATAAAAAATTTAAAAAAAAATATCCAAAAGCAACTCTTTATTCCACTTCTGTCACAGGTAATGGAAATAACAGCCTCTGGAGTCAACAACTCAATACCAAATTTATTAAGTAATTCTGCCAATTTTAATTTTATTCATGTATAAATTATATAAATTTATCTATATCAGTATGCATATAATTACAGCTACAGGCACAGATAAATATATATACATGTTTTTATATTTGACGGAGTTTCTAATTTAAGTGATATTTGAAAACAACTGGTGTGAAAAACACTGTATATTTAAGATGAATGATTTAAGCTGGTTTATGTTTCTAGGGATAAAAAGCATATTACACCATTCTAATGTAAGTAAGGAGTCATTCATTTACTCTCTTATAAATGTGATCTAATAAATCCACAAAAGATTCCTCTATTCAACAAGTCAGTTGTCCTGGATATGTTCATTCCCATTTTATTATCATCTGTACAAATTCCGTCCCATTCTAGCAGAATCCGCCATGAAAAAAAAATGTTTCTCCATTAGTCTTAAAACTCCAGGAGACGTGTAAAATACGAGGAAACAAATTACCAGTCTATCTGTTAAAAAATTGTTGCTACTGCTTGCATAAAGTCCACCAAAGTCCACCATTTTTGCTACACTATAAATGGTAGAATATTTTATAAACTGCAGATGTTTTAAAATTGAACAATGACAGAAAATATAAAAAGCAATCAAGATGGCAGAGTTGAAAATGTGACTTTCCTGTACTAACTTGTCAGTTCTGAAGTCCTTGAATATATAGATTCCAGTTCAGCCTCAATTTGACCTCCAAAGAGACGTTAAGAAATGGCACTTTGTCAGTTAAATGTTTCATGATTTTTTTTAAATTCAACACATTTAGCCTACTTATCTTGTATGTGTCAAAACAATTTGTCTAAATGATGTTCTATACCATAATAAAGGATTTTAATGCGGGAAGAAGTCTTTGCATGTGCAAATGCTGTGGTGCATAGAGCAAATAACTGGAAATGCCCATCAAAAGCATGTAACAGTCTGCCTACGATAAACATTAAATAGAGTAACGGGTTGGTTCAAGTAAGACTGACTATTTACACAATAGGAAAGCACAAAAAGACAGACAGATTGTTGAGTTATGTAAATTACAGCATGATTCAAGAGAACTAAACTCCTTAATTCAATAAAATCCTTCTCAGCGCAAGGAAGAGCCTAAGTTTCAAAACCAACATTCTCTGATGAGAAAGAGTTTACTGTGATATAATTATGATTGTAAGTAATAATATATTTTATTTTCAATGAAAACGTATGCTTTCATGATAATATTCACATATAAAAGCAGTGAGAAATACCCACAGCTGGTGATTTAAGTCTCTCTCCTATTCATGTTCTATCTTTCTGACGTTTTTCTGCCTCAGTTTAGACTGTGACTGTATTTTTAAAATTTCTAATCATAATAAAAGCATACAGCATTTGACAGGAAGAATAGCTATTCCATTCTCTTTCC